AAATAGATCCAGATTACAGTCCTGCTGGAGTGGCAGATGCTGCTCCGGGTGATTCGGTAGAGGAGGGTCCGGTGGCGATGGCGCGAAAGTCCACTCCTCCGGCCAAGGCGAAGAAAAGCTGCAGCTCCACGAGGTCCGGGCCGCGGCTCCACCAGGTTCCCCTCCCCCGTCCCACACCCACCCCCTGCAGTTCCGGAGGGCTGGGAGGCTCCCACCTTTCCCATCGTTAACCCATGATTACCCACTGACAAAAGCACCTGCCCCTGGAGTTAACACGGAATGAAAAACAAAAAAAAAATTCTTCCAGCCGGTTTCAACAGATGAAAATAGAATTACACATTTTTGGTTACATATTGTAACCCAAGACACCTTATCATTTTGGGGGTGCATTAAGTGAAATACTTCCCTGCAGCATTTCCCTTCCTTCTGGGGGTTACTATATAGAATTTTAGTGGAGTCTAAAAAGCCCTAATTCTCCCTTCCATATCAAATTCTGAGTGGTTCAACTTTTGGCAGGAGTATTTCTTTCATATAATACTGAAGTGACTTAAATTTTTCAGAATCTTAAGCTTAGTTTATTCAAAACTTGCTTAAAAAGTAAAACTCGTAGTAGTGCAGGAATTAACACTAAATTGCTGTATCTTAGGTTCCTTTCTCCCACACCAAGTAGAGGTTAAATTTGTACAGAATAGAGGTTCTTAAAAAGCAAAGAAACGTAGTTGTCAGATCTGAACCTTGTAACACAGAAAACTTGGAACAGTGTGTTTGCAGAAGTCTCATAAGACTTTTTTTGCTCAAATGAAAGGGTACAGGCCTTGCAACCAGTTCCTTGTGATGATGATAGTAGTAATAATAATAAAAAATGCTGTTTCTGCTTGGCCGGTAGGGAGTAGTGAAAGTAATTGGTGGTGTGATTTCTTGTCAGGCTGATAAGAACCATAGTAACAAATTTAATAACATAAAACTGTTTCATTTTGGGTATTAAATAATTATTTAAAGCAAATTCTCATGAGTTTGAATTCATAAAATTCTGTTCCAAAATAGCTTCTCTGGGATCACCAAAGGAGGGATCAAAAAATAAAAGAAACAGCAGGATTTTCTGTAGATAACTTTTTCTATATTCAAAGAGCATTTCATGTATGTTAAAGTGTCGCTTAGATGTGGTGTTGGGTGACATGGTTTAGGGGTGAACTTGTAGTGTAGGGTCAATGGTTGGACTCGATGATCCCAAGGGTCTTTTCCAACCTGAATTGTTCTATGATTCTATGTTTCCCAGGTAAGAAAAAACTGTGAAAAAACTGGAGAAGTCAATGTCCAGCGAAGGGGTGACTCAGCTGTTGCAGTCTGGCTTTTCAAACTGATCACAAGAGTGTAATAGCTTCATTCTGTTTGTCTCCCTCAGAAGAAGAGGGCAGTAAATGGAGAGAGTAGGCAGTCTGCTGAAATGTAACTCCTCTGCACTCTTTGTCCATGTGTTTCAAGCCCTGGGTTGCTGCGAGATAAATAATTGGCTAAACTGAAAGCTTTTGGGGGAGGTTGTGGGGTTTTTGTCATGGGTTTTCTGTAGTGCTTCTGTCGCTTTTGGTATTTTTTAATACAAAGCTTCAGCTATTTTAGAGGATGGGAGGGAGGCAGTCTTCTTGAGCAGAGCCTTGTGTTTCTAGAAGGAATATAATGTTATGAGGTGTTTTGCTAGAAAAGCTAAACTTCCTGATTTCTTGAGCGTCCATTCTTAACTGCTTTCCAGTCCCATGACATTTAAGTTTCTTTTGGAGTTTCTTTGAACTGTCTCAGGTCTTGGCACTGGATTAGAGCCTAAGCAGATTCTGTTACCTGTGGTACAGTTTGTCCTGCTAGGAAAGAAGACTGTGCAGTCTAGCTGTACAGGAGGTGACACAGAGGAGTGAGGAAATAAGTTGGAGGATTCTGACAAGATGGGAGGCTAGGTGAGAAATGGGGAGCCTGATAGCATGGGGATATTTGGGAGTTGAATTCATAGGAAGAGGCTGGAATAGATACTTAAGGAGCTTAAGAATTACTGGGGCTGAGAGAAGGGCAAGTAGATCTGATGATGGCCTGCAGTGGAACAATCTAAATTAGCTGGGAGCGGGGAATAAACCATTTATTCCTTCTTCCCTGGTTTTCCAAGGCCTTCAAGATCATTTTTCTCTCTTTGTCCTTTCTAAGACATTTGAGACATCTTTGGTGTAAAATATAGCATGATACAGAGGCTCAAGGAAATGACCCTGTGCTGGAAGCAGTAGCCCTGCTGTAAGGAGTGTGTCTGCTTGTCTTTGTGCTAAAGTGTGAAGAAAGAAGTTAGTGCTACGAAAAAGCTTGCACTCCTTCCACATCTTCAGTATCTTGAAAAAGGCTGAAAGGACTGTTACATACACGGGAAAACACAACCCAAATATCTTACCTCTTCCTTCCTATCCTAAGGTCTAAGAAGGAAATAATTAAAGATATTAATCATTGGTATTCAGTACTTACTGACTTGAGTTTATTCTTAGAGGCTGGAACTTGGATTATGTAACTTCTGTAGTACAGGTCATCTCTGAATAGTTTTGAGTGCAAGAAGTCAGTGAGAGATGGATCAGTTAAGTGTTATGGGTAGAGTATTTAACAAGTTGTTAATTTGATATTTGAAGTGTCTTCTATTTGGAAGAAAAAGAGACAACTTTTCAATAGGTAGAAGCTGCAGGATTGTCAGATCCTTTAGGGAGAAGTGAGGTATATTTACATGAAGTGATCCCTGGGAAACTGATGTACTTTCATCTAGCTCAGTGACCTCAAAAACCTTAATCGGCTTAGATCTTCAGCTCGTATTTCGCTTAAAGACAGCTTCAGCGAATATTGTTCAGGGGTGGAAGGAAATCAGAATACTCCTCTTATAAAATACATGGAATCTTTTTTATTTGTTTTTGTAATAGAAAAAGTAAAGACAAAGCAGGAGGATAAAGCACTACTGTCTTTGAGACACTTTCATCTTATTTTTGACTGATTCACTGTCACTTGGTGACACTCTACTCTCTTGAGGATCTTGTACTATATCTTGTCACTCCCATTTAAGAAAACGTTGCTGAAACCATTTTAAATCATCATAAATACCAGTTTGCTCCTGTGAAACTAAGTTTTTGATTTTTACCTCCAACTACTTTGTATTGACTTTATCATAAGGAGAGAAAACGTATTTTAATATTATTGTGTTCAGTCTCTAGATTTGACATGAATTTTAGTGCCTAGATATTAGTTTGTAGCTTTTAGCTTTTGTTTCTTTATTGGCAAGTGCTGGGGAAACAAATTATTTAGTTACTGACTGTGTTTAGAGATTTGGCGAAAGGGAAAGCGTTGTACAGTATTGAGGTCAGCTACAATAACTGTGAAATCGGATGTGGGATTTGGAGCTCTGTAATGCCAGCTCAGATTCATACTACATCTGTATCTCAAATATTCACATTTTTCTCCTTTTGAAAGCAAGTAGAGTACTATCAGATAATGGTTGGAAAAACGCTGTTTGAAAATCCAGGTGGTTGTACATTTGGCCATAAAAGATGAAGAACACTGTAATGAAATGTGATCAAGAGAGGTCTGTATGTGCTCTGTTCCATTATTCCGATATGCAATGAGGTCTTTCTCTTCTGTGCTTTTTTAAACACAGACTTCTGACTTGAACAAAGAGGTATAACATTTGAAATCCAAATAACTTGGTTTCTACCAGTAAAAAAAAACTAAATGCTTTTGTAAAGACATAGTAGTTCCAGTAAGTTAAAAATTACTACTGTTTTAAACATAAGCACATGCATTAATTTTCTGTAGGATAGGATGCCGACTGTGAACAAAAACCAGAGAGGATAAAGTTGAAATAGGAAGGATGTCTGGAAGTAATTGTAATCTCATTTAAAATATATTTCTTTAAGGGTGGTAAAGGTATTTTTTCTTTACAGGGCTCTTCCTCGTAACTATTAGTGTTTGCATGTGTGGCCGATTCAGAATCTGTTGCATTTTATGCAAGCTAAAATTAGTATTATTAATTATCACTCTGAAAGTTTTGAAATGTGGCTGTAGAAAGAAACTGCATGCTGATGGATCTACTGCTATACAGCTGATGCTCTGTATGTATAAGTATATATAATATAATATAATGCTCTGTAAGGTGGATTGTGTTGCTTGCTGTGTGTTCTGTAAGTCGTGACTTGAGTTTCATCTCCTGCTACTGCATCCCCAGGCACTTATCTTGCCTGGACTTCAGGTATTGCCTTACTGTAGCAATGGATCCTGCAAGAAGAGTCCTCGTGGATTATGTGTAAAACTTCTGCCAGCTGAATTTCTTTGCTCTTACACCTAAAATTTACTACCTGTAGATAGAAAATACCTATATACACACCCCTGGATTTACTCTGAAAAGGATTGGAAGTACTAAAATAACAACGTGGCGTGGATGACCTAGGCAGTGGCTGTGAGCTGCCGGCATCCCTGTGTGCTCCACGGGCAGTAGCTGTCTGGGGGAGCTGTGGCTGAGAATACCGTACACCTGGAACGGAGAGAGGCTTATCTTGGACATCTAGGTCAAGTTCAATATCCTCTCTCCCTCTCCCTTCTCTCTCTCACTCTCGTAGCACTTCTTATTACTGGATTAGAGATTACGTGGCGTTTTCCCCCCACTCTTGTATTTATGTACTGCAGGACGTAAATCAGATGCCCTGCCAATTGAAGAAGTAGATATATACATATAGATAAAATAAAAACTGTACTCTTGCTCTAGCAAAAGAACACGTAATATAGAGTGTGTCTCTTACAATACCTTCCATTCGTACTTCTCTAAATACTTGATTTTGTGCTTTGCGTTGTTTTAGGTTTTGTTATTTCTGTCAGCCCATTTGGAAAACTTTTACAACTTTTGAAGATTTTTCTGTGTACGTGTTCCCACTGGAGCCTTAACATTTTTTTCTCAGAATTCCTTTTTGCTTGCTAAAATGCTTTTGTACTAAAATGTTTTGTTATCCAACTTTGCTCTGTCAAAAATGTATTGTCTGTAAAGTTTGTTTCACAGCTTTCATGTGTCCTGCTTATCTAATGTAATGAAAATACTGCATGGCTTTTCATTTTGAAAAACTTATTTGTTGGATTTGATATTGAAGGTTTATTCACACTTCAAATTTCCCGTGCTAAGTATTTTTTAATAACCTAATAACCTGAAAGCTTTTCTAGAGTAGCCTGCCTGTAATATGACACTGCCAAAATTGTAGCTTTTAATACTCTTAAACATTTTTTTTATGAATACTGCTTGCTCAAAGCTGCTATACTCTACTCTTAAAATTGGATAAAAATATTCTATTCTTGAAGTATTTGTGGTGGAAAGAGCATGTCAACATTTTTCATAATATTTGTAGCAGTAGGCCATCAGAAAAGGAAAGTTTTCAGTGAAAGACTGATATTTTGAATCAATTAGAATAAAGATGCATGTGGCTGAAATCTAAAATTTTGCTATTCTCATAAACTGCATTTTTTAGCACTTTGGATAAAATAACTTAGAGCAAAACTATAGAACATTTCTTTGAGTGATTAGGAAATAATCTGCCCAGGCAGAATTTTGCTAAAATGCAAACTGATCTGAAGCACATTTTGAGAAGCACTTTCTTCCACAATGCGTTTGTTGCTGTTAGTTTTTTGGTGGAATTATTTGTTTTTATGTTGGTGTCTATTACTGCTTGAATATGTTTTGCTTTGTGTTATCCCGACATCTTATGAAGAGAAGTCGCTATTTTCATAGTGGCAGAACTGAGGTTAAGTAGTTTTAAATTGGGCTATATCGGGATAATTTTTAATTGCATCTGTAATCAGGCATCAACATGGGAGCCTGTAAATGAAATCAAACTTTTCTTGTTACACACTGTAACTTAATTAAGACTTAAATAATGGTTAAAGCAAATTTTGCTGTATTTGCTACTATCCTTACACAATTGTGAGAGGATGCTAAGCTTCCTGTTCCAGAACAGCATAAATCATTTTGTAAAGGGCATGTAGCTAGCTGAGGTAAAAAATGCACTTCTATTTGCATTATCTAACTGCATTTACACTGAGCTACATCGTGCTTCAGGACAAAAAAGCTTCTAAAAAGTCATCTTTGAACTTTAATTCAGAGTTCTTGGAGGGAATTGAATAACTTAAATATTTTCTGTTGTGTGCTGCCTTTCCCCAAGTTCTTGAAATAGTTCTGTGTATATTAAATTCATTTGTATTACATTTGTAGGGATGCTTCGTTTGGGAACTGCACATACAATCTTACCATCTTGGACTGTTTACAGGGAATAAATAAGGTAATAACATTTTTCCTTGGCAAAACAGATTTAAATTGACATTTAAAACATGAGGGAAAATACTGTTAAAATATGCCAGAAAATCTGATTTCAATGAGGAGTATGTTGTCATGAAGCCTAAGTTACTGAGGACTGTGTTTGAGTAGTGACAGTGGAACAAGGTTACAATTTTATCTGGTGCCCGAGGTGGCCTTTGGCAGCTTTCCGAACTTCACCATGTGGATCGGAACTTGCAGACGTTCCCAGCCTGGCTGGAGGCAGTTCTTGACAGTGCAAGGCCGTGCACTATGTCTGCTGAGAGATAGTTCATAAATGTTGGTAAAGGGAAATAACTTAGGTTGGTAAAATCAAGTGAGGCAGACACAGAGGTATACTGTGATTTAATCTGAGCAGTTTTTGCACGTACTTGCATGAACTTTACCCCAAAACACTTGGGTTCAGTGTTTGACACTAATCTTCATTGAATTGTTTAAAAAGAATGAAAAATAATCTATCTTACGAGCATTTTGACATGTCACTTTCAACAGTCCTGGTTCTGAGGACTATTAAGATGCAGTACTGATTTTCAAAAAAAAAGGTTGTGTCATATTTTAATTGGCAACCTTGTGATTAAATTTTGTTATTTCCTAGTCATTTTGATGAAGGGAGAGCGCTATATAAACAGTTCTGTACAGACATTTTATAGATGATTTGTAATTCTTAAAAGTATGACAAACCAAGTGTTTCTTAAAATTTGAAAAAAGAGAGATCAAGCTTAATATTTTTAGTTCTGTGGAGGTGGGAAAGGAGCTGTCAGCTAACAGCAAGACTCTAATTTGTGTGGCATTGTACAGATTCTGAAGCTCTGTGAAGCAGTCAGTGCAATCACTGTAATTTATCTGCAACAAACATGTCAAAAGACCTTGAGAATCAGATTTTCCTCCTTTGTTCCCGTAAAATTTATTATTGAATTTTGTCCCGTTCACCTACAGAGGTAAAATACTTAGAGAAGAAATTGTATGCCTTAATCTAACATAAAATCTTCATCTACTTGAGTAAATTTGGTGTTTATGTGCACATATATCACATACACGTAGTTCAGAGGGTGTACAAATTCTAAAGGGCAGCCAACCATGCTTAAATGAAATATATTTTTCAAAATCAGCTGTTCAGACGAAGCTCTCTGTATCTTAGGTTTCATCATGGTCCAAATGAGCCTACACTATCTATAATGAAGTTGTTGTTTTGTCTAAAAATTGTGTTCTGTATGTAGTAAATAATTGCAGACCGATTTTTGGTTTCTAAATCATAGGTCTGCAGTGTGTTTATCACACCTTAATCCCAGAATGTTGTGTAATATCTATAGTTCTCAGAATTCAGTAAAAATATATACTGCAGTACTGTCTTCCACCTATGCCTTGGAAGAAATTTGGGCTATGAATTTCATATTCATAGAATTTTAATATGCTATTGTACACAAATATTAAGTACAAAATTGGCATGATTAATTATAGTACAGTAAATAAATACAAAACTTGACTTCTTTCAATCCTGTAATAAAAAAAAACAAACAAAAACACAAAGCTGATATTTTTTCCAGCCTTATGCTAAATGCAATCTGATGTAGTCTAGTGAACTTTTTTCTATCGGCGGAATATGTATTAAAAGCAAATAATAATACATGAGTTTTACATAGTGTTCTGCATATGCTATTTTGTCTGGGTATTATGGTGATATAATTGGAATATCATATTAAGTGCAGAAAACCAATAAAATCCTAATGTCCTGTATTATGTCCAAATGCATGAAAATGTGTTCAGCATAGAAATCATTGAGTGAATATATGACAAAAAGGGAATTGCTTTTTAATTTGTCGTCTGCCTTACAGAAAAAAGTCATACATAGTGGGGTGAGGAGAATCAGTTTTACGATTTAAGTGATATGCAACAATATTATGTCCCATTGTAATGTCTTTGAAGGGGAAATAATGAGTCTGACATGCTTTAGTGACATTGTTGGAATTGTTGTTGTCTGTGTTGTTAATCTGTGCAAAATGTATGTTGTCTTAATGCAGAGGCTTCAATAAGCAAAAAGCACAAACATCTAGTGATTTAGTTTTGATTCTCAAAAAGACTATTATAAAACGAGATTATATATCGTATTTCAACGAAAACTGACACCTCGTTGCCTTTTAGGCTTTGCAGCATGGATTTTTTGACTTTAAGACATTTGATGTGGATGAATATGAACACTATGAGGTTTGTACATTTAAAAATGAGTTGAGTGTGTTTGGTTTATTTGAAATAAGTTAGAATATAGAGTATCCCACAAGTTAAAACATAGTGGAAACACATTTTAATCCAAGTAAAACCCAATGTTCATATGTAAGGTATGTATGTCCAGACCTGTGTGCTGTAGGTGAAGAACATGCAGGACGAATGTCCCTGTGGTCTGAGGGCATCACCACCGTCTGCTCTCGTAGCCTTCCTGGGCTGTGGGGCCGCTTTCGTGCTTTGCCAGCTTCCCCCAGACACAATCCAAGGTCTTTCAGCTGACCCACACAATCTGTTCTTTCTTTCAGTACTTGTTGAGCTGCTTCTTGAGATGCTGTTAGTCCTAAATATATGACAGATTTTTATAGACACATATTAAGCACACTTTGAGCTTTTTTAGCGAGGATGCATTATATGGGGATTATAATAATGAAAATACAGGAAAACGTTTCCCTAACCGAGTCCCACAAAGCTAACAGATGTCGTTCATTGTTCTGCCAGCCTTCTTAGAACTTAAGAATAGTTACTCTGGATGACTCTAGATGCTTCTAGGGCTTGGTAACTTAGACACCTAGTCACAGCTTTTCCAGCTATATTGCTGCAGAGAACCTTTAAATATGCCTGTGTGGCACCTGTGAGCTGGGCTGTGTACAGAGGAGCAGGCACAGCAGGTGTGCATACCTGTGCTCCTGAACACTTGCGTGATCTTTGTCTGCCTTTTCCCACACTTAAGGGAGGGGAAGGGGTTTTTATTGAAGACAGTGACAACCATTGGACTTTGCCTTTGGTCCCTGAAGTTCCTGCAGTTGCATTGGTAAAGGAGAAAGACAGGTATATAAACTAGAGGTGTATTGAGCATTTGAATACATACTAAACTCTCTTTTTAGAGTTGTGTTGCTTCATTGTAGCCAGTATTCTTCCCCCCAGCCCATCTGTTGCAATTTTCAGTGAACATGGAAATAATGAGAATAGATTTGCTTAGTCTGAAAATGTCCATTTTGAAATTTATTTTAAGTTGAATATTCCCAATATAAGAAAAGTTCTAGATGTGATTGCTTTTCTTTAACCTTTGTAACATTTGAGAAATAACTCTTGTTTTACGAACAAAAGGATATGGGTGACTTGGTACCCATCTGAAATGCAGCTACAGGGAATGCTTCATGAATGTTCGAGAAAGGGTATAGACAGGAAAGGAGTAAACAGTGGAGAAACTTAGCTTACAACACATGTCTTTGCAGTAGGTGTTGGCTGGGATAGCCGTGGTGTAACATACAGCTATTCACACAACTTGAAAGCATTTCTAGCAGGATCTCTGTGTACTGTAATGTTCCACATGATTAGTTTGAGAAAGCGTTACAGTAATTGACTAAAGCTATCCCATTATCTTGTTTAATGCTTAACATTATCTTAGTTTGTGGAAAGCGTGTATGTGTGAATGATATTGAAAACATGCTGCCTGCTCCCTGAGTCTAAGGAGCAAGAACTTGGAAGCATCCTTATTTTTTTTTGTCCCATTTTTGGTATGTCTTTATTATTTTATGCATCATGGTCAGCTTTGTATGTTTAGATGTGTCCTGTGCTATATTTCTAAAACTAAGTGTTCCAGGTTTTTGCTATGTTAGGTCTTCATGTGTGTAGTTATGTTGGGAAAAGTTGCATAAGACTTAAAGGGAGCAGGCTAAAGGAAATTCTATTTCATGTTTATAGTCCTTGAATCTCATTGTATTATCAAGGCAGTTAATTCCCCTTTTGTACTAGATGTAAAATGCTCATGTACTCTCTTTTAATAATGTTTTTTGCATGCAACGTTGAGTGCACATGTATACATATGTCTAATTCTAATTGGTTAAAATTCAAATTATTCACAAGGACCCATTTACCTGTAAAGAACTACTTCACAAATAAAACTGGTGATATAAATATACATATACTTTTACTGAACAGGACTTCTTTCTTGAAGGGCATAGAGGTGCTACAATGCTGAGATTGCAGCCCATGCTACAGGTCGGGGGGGGCGAGGGCCCTGACTTGGCTGTAAGATCAGTTCACAGGTCCTTACGCAACCTTGTGAACTTACAGGGGTTTGCACTGTGGGAGGATGTTTGGAGCAAGCCTAATGGGCTTAGCTAAGCAAACAGGCGGTGAATTGATTCCAGTAATGTCCATTATCAGAACCTTTCACTCATTATGATGTTTTGATGAGCTGAGAGCTAAAAACACCAGCTTAATAATGCAGTGGAACTGAATGCCGTGTCCTTAAAAGTCATGCTGAGAATAACTGCATCGCCAAATGAGGAATGAGCACTCTTCAATTAAAAAAAAAAAAAAGGCAGTTTTGAACTTAGTTATGTATTTCCAAGAAAGCTTCTAATTTTGGCACAGACAGAATTTGCAGAACCTTTTCAAGGTTTTCATTTGAAGGTGAGCAACAAATGTAAAATGCCACAGTTTGAAAGTTTTTTTTAATTTAGTCTATTTATTTGTTTTATACTTTGTTTCTATGATTACTGCCTTGTCAGGGCTTATGCCAATATGGAAATTTCAATTTGTACAGGGAAAGGATAATTGTTTTTGAAGGCTAATTGGTTTTTAATTTGTCCTCTGTGAATTGTGGTTTTTAGCCAATGCCTCACAGGGAAGCATTTTTCCATACTTGACTAAAACACACAAGGATGTTTGATGGTCTTGTTAAAAGTAGGTGTCTTTAAAACACAGAACCCTTCAAGGGAGAAAAATCTTAGATGCAAGGTCTTTCTGCTTTTTTGGAAGACTTTTTTTTTGTGTTTCATTTTATTAAGAAATTTCTGAGAAGCAGCTTATGGTGAGTTAGTTTATACCATATAGGTAAGCTGTCTAATTACATTTGAAGTGTTTTGTGTTAATGCAGCAAGAACATAGTAAAAAGTAAAATAAAATCTTGTGTAATTTTTTAATGTTGTATGTACAGATATTAAAATGCTTTTCTTTCTTTTCTGAAATTTTTATAGCGAGTGGAAAATGGTGATTTCAACTGGATTGTTCCAGGAAAATTTTTAGCGTTTAGTGGACCACACCCAAAAAGCAAACTTGAAAATGGTATGGTGTAAATTTTAATGCTGTTCTATGATCTTATTCTTCCCAGCATATTAGTCACAGCACATGAGCAGAAGATAATAGAAGTTTATAGATTAATTTTCATCTTCACAAGTAATCATACAGTGAATATTTTATATCCGATCATAGAGCTTAATTCCAGAGGTTTTGGGGTTCTTCTTTGCTAGAGGAATTCCTATTCTTCTAACAGTTGGTGACTTTCATTCCGAGACAAAGTGCCTTAAAAATTCAAGCCCGTTTTCTCCTGGAACTGACACCTGATACGATAAGTATGCAGAGTTAAGGTGAGTTGCATAAAGCAAAGGAGACCGTATTAAGAGTTCTGTAACAAAAGCCAGGAAAGACTTTAAAAAGAAGCTTGCATTGACCACTGAAGATTCTTGGGATAATGGGAAGAACTTGTGTGATTGTAATGGAATAAAAAAAGAGAAACTTGACCAACAGAGGGAAAGTAGAGATTTGGTCCAGCTGAAATGAAAATCAGTCATTTAAAAACTACAGTCAGATATTTTTTTCTGAATTTTACCTTATTCTTTGTGCCATGTCATTTTGTTTATGTGAGCATGTTTTCTGAATATCCCCAGTTTTTGTTGCTTTGGGTTTTGGGGGGAGATTTTTCTACTTCTGTGCTCTCATGTTTCTTTTATTTCTAGAATGCTGCTAATTGTGTAGTGTCTACTGAACAAAATCCAGGGAGAAAATATTTAGGTTGGTTTGGGTTTCTTCCCAAGTCACTGTTACAGTCTCTTCTTAATTTTTTCTTTCAAAAATTGTTTAAATAGGTCCATGGAATTTGGAAAACCTGTGTTTTATTTTTAATGTGTGTAACTCAAAATTACTAAATTAAGGCTAATGCTTAAAATCCAGTTAGGAGGCTATAAATAAGCCTCACACAGGTGAATGTAAGTACACATTACCAAGCTGCATTTTCCTCGTTATCATAGACTGGCCTAGGCTGGAAGGGACCTTGGAGATCATTTAATCCAACCTCCCTGTCATGGGCAGGGACGCCTCTCAGCTAGATCAGGCAACACATGGGGACCGAACGGGGATCGAACTTGTGACCTTGACATTATCAGCACCGCACTGTTGTGACTCTTAATTGCATTTACTAATGTCTATGTGACTTGGCAAAATGACCTGTGTTTTGTGACAAAGCTTTTTGGACTTTATTTGAACAGGAATAAAAATTCTGGAGATAAACCAGTGAATTGGTTCAGTAACTGATTTTTGTGGCAGCTATGTTGTTTCTGTCTTTTGTTTATAAGACTTTATTCTCCATTAATAATTAAGTCCTACATTCTCTAGGCACGTGATCATGTGCACACACTCCCTCACCCCCTCTTCAACAGAGAACATCTGTTTGGTGAAAGTGTCCCAGGCAGTGGTGGTGTGGTTGGTTTTTGACCTCCATTCCTGCCACTCCGTCTTCATCTGGAGGAGCCTTTTGTTTCTCAACTAAGGCACTAAAGTTTTTTAACTTTGGAGCAGGGAAAGAATGCTTCTGGTGCTGTGGTTTATCCTTTGACTGTTCCTCTTGTCCATAGTACAGATCACCAATCTGTTTTCCTCATCAGCGTGGTGTTTGCTCTTAAAGCATGTTCCCATTCTCTGAGTATAGATAGAAAGCTGTTCTGAAATGCTGAATTTATATATGTGCCTAGCTTTATGTATGAACCCTGACTTTTGGACAAGAGTGGACTAAAAAGGAGACAGCAGTGTTTCATGTATATTATGTGCTCTTTTTTTCTGATCCTTTCTTTAATTATAGTGGTCTTTATGAGCGTTTCGTGGACATTTTTTATACCACTTAACATGTTCTGAATAAAATACCAAAGCATTTTCAGTATTAGCATGTTCAAAAAGATTTTGATGGCAATTTTCATTAGTAGGACTTTGAAATTTATCTATGATTCTAAGTGATTTTTTTTTTATAGGTTATCCTCTTCATGCACCTGAAGCCTACTTTCCTTATTTCAAGAAACATAATGTCACATCAATCATAAGACTAAATAAAAAAATTTATGAGGCAAAACGCTTTACTGATGCTGGTTTTGAGCATTATGACCTGTTCTTCATAGATGGAAGCACGCCGAGTGACAGTATAGTTCACAGGTTCCTGAACATCTGTGAAAACGCTGATGGTGCTATTGCTGTACATTGTAAAGGTATGTGCACTCACTTATTACTGAATGAAGTTCAAAATAAGTATAAATCCACAGAGTTTATTCTAGAAATAAAACATCTTAAAAAACCACTTTTTGATTATGGAAGTAATGTTGCTTTATGATACTTGAGTAAATATATGACAAGTATTTGTTATTTTCATGTGCATATTAAGTTCTTGCACCCTACACTACTAGTTAAAGTGACTGACAATCTATTGTTCATTGTTTTGTTTTTTCTTAATATCATTTGAAGGCATGAGTTTTAGTTGTTGGAGATTTCTGTTTTGCATTATGCTTTCACAGCGTTATGGTAATTGGCTAAGAAATGCCGAAAAAAACCCCGAAAGGTTTTCTTTGTGCTTTTGAACTGTTCTGTGTTTTTCTGTGGAGCATGACTTCCACATTTCAAGTTAGAGTTATTGTGATGCCAGCATTTCAAACCCGCTTATTTCAGCAAATCGGCTAGAAAACAGGCAAAACATGCCTAATCAGAAATGATGAACAAAGGCTTTGAAGGGTTTGTCTTGGTGTATGTTTAGAGTTGTGTAAGGATATTGTGGAGACTGATATCCTTCTGACTGGAAACAAGAATAGTGCTATTCATAATCCTTCCATGAACAATAAACTTGCGTACCAAAGACAAATAAGCTTATTTGCTAACAAGTTGTTACTGCGACTAGAACTCAGAAATTCTGGCAATAAAAAGGTGGACATCTGCTAATCGACTAAATGGAGACCACAAACTCTTGATTAGCAGTACACTGTTATTTTCCAGACTTAAGTGCTGAAGTAAAACAGTACACTTTTCTAGTGACTTAGATACCTGCTTGCTGAACTGAAGGATTTTTGGTCTTTCATCTGACTGTTATTAATAATAATCTCTTTTTTTTTTCCCTCTTCTTTCTAAAGAAGCCTATACTAAGTTAAATCAATGGTTAACTCAGAGTTAGTATTTTGTCTGTAGCTTTCTTGTATTCTTATTGCAGAAGTATTCCAAGCACAGCTCCCACATGGGAAATTGTCCCAGAAGTTATAGAATGGTTTAATGCAAGGTGTTGCTATGGAAAGTTTGTACATTACTGGGAACTTAAAGAACTGAAGTCTTAGTGATATATGCAGTTTGTAGATGTTATGTGAAATTTTCAGAGACCGTTTTCTTACTCAGATGTACATTTAGTGTAGTACAGCTCTTAGTTATTTATTTGCATGTTGAATTCCTTTTGCATTTCAAAAAGAAACAAGCAGAGAAAAACCATCACAAATGCACGCAAATGAAAAGGGAAAACCCAAGCCCCAAACTCTCTAACAATACTTCCCCTTTTAAAATGATTCTTCAGAGCTAGTCTTCCAAAATACAGTTGAGGAGTATCTCTATTTCTGAACTTGAACCTTCTTCCATTTACCTGAATCATCTTAACTTTCAAAAAAGACATAGCAAGTTCTAGTTATTGGTTTCATGTAAAGAACTTGTAGTCGTGTATAGAATTGTCAGCAAGGCTGTCTGGCTGCTTAGTTTCCATTCAGATAATTGTTGATGCATAAACAATGACTGGCCACCGTGAGACTGAATTGCAGATATGGTGTTTACAGGAAAATAAGGTTTAAATGGGGAGAGACCCTTTGCTAGTAGATAAGACACACGGCTAGAAAGTGATTAGTTCTTACTGTATAGGTAGAGATATGTCTGATAGTAAGAGCTACTTTTTTAGTCTCTTTCCTGAAAACCAATATTAGTTTGTGATTTGAGGGGCAATGGGTTAAATTATTTTAAGCTATTGATATATAAAATTATATGCTGGTCAACTTTCATTGCTGTTCATACAGATAGCAGTGAACAGATTTATAGGTTGATTTCATAGCAGAACCGATTCAAGAAGGAAAGGCAACTGGCTGAGAAGCTACATGCTGCTATCTGTTCTGATGTGTACGTGTATTTGCATATATTTAAACCTTGATGTGTAAAGTGTGTGTGTGTTGACATCTCAAAAGTACTTTGATTATGTTTTTTACTGGTTTTATAAATAATAAATTTGTATCCAGCTTGGTCACAGCTTTTTTAAAAAATATAATCCTTTTTAAAAAAAAAAAGTTTCAAAATAGAATTGTACTAGTACCAGGAGTGCTCATTGTTGCAGGCGTTCTTATAAACACTGTTAACTTTTTATAAGTATGATATATTTCTTCTTGTATCTATAGCTTTGAAATCCAAGTATGTGATAAATGGGATACTGACTCAGAAATTCTTTCTTCAAATATTAAGCTGGTGAATAACATTGCAAGGAAGTCTCCTCATATCTCATACTTTAATCTGATAATTAAGAAACGCTTGTGACTTCTTATGTGAATGTTGGTATTTGTGTTTCCGTAGCTGGCCTGGGGAGAACAGGAACACTGATTGCCTGCTACATAATGAAACACTATAAGTTCACACATGCTGAAGCCATTGCTTGGATAAGAATATGTCGACCAGGCTCTATTATAGGACCCCAACAACACTTCTTGGAAGAGTATGTATATACCTTCTTTGCTTCTAAGAATCAGCTGCTCCTTCTACATCCTTATCCATCTTGCACTGCTTCTAGGATTTACTTTCTGTCTACTGATGCCCTGTATTCTGCCTGTTGCAATATATTTAAGGTTAGTTAATTTGAGACTGAAATAAAGCTTAGTAGGAATCTTCTCTGGAATGTCATGCTTTTTGTCACCTTAAGAGGCAGAGGGTTGCAAGACTCTGCATGCTTGTGTTCTGGAGGATTTAGGGGTTGGACAAATGTGTTGAAAGTGTTGAAGTCCAGATGTAGACAAAATCATCAATAAGGATTTATTAAAATATTGACTTAGGATACACTTTCTATACTTTATATATAGCCTATTATGGCATTATTATTCATAGCTAAGAGCTGTAGAATTGTTCAGTAAGAGTTTTCTGTTGTCCTAATGACAATAGATACCTGTTGTAACAAATGGACAAAATTCAAGTAACATTACCAATAATGTCAAAATGGGATTGAGAAAGAAGGAGCCAACATCAGTTGCATTATTGTAGTATAAAATATCTTGCCCTCAGGGCTGCAAGGTTGCAGGTAACAAAAAGGTAAAATCTTTCAAATTTGATCTCCTGATATTCATCCTGAGGTTCTTTGAGGTTTAATAAGGGAGGTTTGAGTAGTACTCTAGTGAAGACTCTGCCACCCACGTATGTACCAAATCAGTTTGGTACTGTGTGTGCAATTAATCTTCAAGGATTTCAAGGCTACTTGAGTTTGGTGGAATATGTGGTGCTCCCTCTGCCCCTGCTACCCCTTCTCTTCTTTCCCCTGATGTTTTCTTGGGACAAAATGAAATCTTTCTGGAAGTGCTTACCTTTCCCATTTATTATTGAGCAGATCTAGGCAATTAGCTCAGACTGCCTGGTTCTTAAGCTTTGTCATAATATTTGTAATATTTTGTTTTCAAGCAAAGAAGAGCTTTCAGTGAAACAATATACCAATTTAATTCTTTTTTTGTTTGTTTATGTTTTGGTTTTTGTTCAGTATAGGAATTTTGCTACAATGATAGTTAATAAATAGGGTCTTCTCAGATGGCACTAGCAAACTTCTGTATCGAGAAGTAATGCAGTCTCGTCAACAAAAGCCTGCTTAGCCCATGCATATTGTAGCAATAAATTAATATATTTAGGGCTTTGTAAAATGAAGCTTTATTACTTGTAATATGTCTGTGATGACTACAGTCTTGCTTGGTGATTTTGGGGATGGGGAGTAATTGATGGTTTTAAACAAGGAAAATTTTGATTTTTTTTTTTTTATATATAGACATTAGATTTTTTTTTTCAAAATGAAGATGTACAGAAGATTCAGATGTTGGCAATCTGTAAGGGTAGCATGTTTTCATATTGGTTTTTTATGTGTATGCAAATTTGTTGATATGAATTGATTTGGTTTTGTATCCTAAAGGAAGCAAGCAATGTTATGGCTGGAGGGAGATGTCATCCAATCAAAACAGAAACAACGAGTAGTTGATGGAAACATTAACAGAGTTCTTTGTGGTTTGAGTGACATTTCACTCAGTGATAGCTTGAATGAAGTACAAGACTTGGATCAATACAGGGAGGTAAGTGTTCATAGCAGAAATTTCAAACAAGCAGAGAAGGAGCTGATCTTTTTAATAACTAGTTATAGATAACTTTTAGATTTATTTTTTTTTTCTTAGGCTTGTATTAGTACTAGGCTGCTTTTTTACAGCTGAACTTTTTTTATAGGTCAAAATTAGAACAAATCTCCACTTCAAAAAAAGCTTAAGTTGTATAACATGTAGCCTTCTTGCTTTGTGTTACCTGTACTTCTCTGCTACTTAAGATACTCTCTCTACTTAATATTTGGGTTTTACAAAAAGTCTATTCTGAGATCAGTTAGAAATTATAAATAGGCATTTAAACAGTGTTGGCATACACTTTTAGAGTTTCTTAGAGTTTATAGTATTTTTTTAAAGCTAGAAGAAGACAAAACTCTGAAATCTCTTCATTCTATATTCCTTATTAAGTTCTTATAGGGAAATCTTTTCAGAACTGTTTTTCTACGGGTCATGAGAACTTTTTTCTTTTAAAAACATTAGTAATTTAGGAAAGTTGATTTTTAGCTCCTTTTGCAGGACACAACTTTACCTAAATTTCTTCCTCAGCTTGTGCATATCACAAAATTGTGCATTACTGCTTCCCTTCCACTCGTTACAGAATCACAAAATGTTCAGGGTTGGAAGGGACCTCTAGAGATCATCTAGTCCAACCCCCCTGCCAGAGCAGGATCCCCTAGAGCAGGGCACACAGGAATGTGTCCAGGTGGGTTTTGAATGTCTCCAAAGAAGGAGACTTCACAACCTCCCTGGGCAGCCTGTGCCAGTGCTCTGGGATTGAGGAAGGAGTTACTGAGTATGGAGGTGGAGTTTACATTCTGTAAAAATGGACTTCTTTGAAAGAAGCAAATAAGTAATGCTGTTAGACTCAAGCATCCTGAACTGACTTTGAGCTCGGATTCTGTGTAAAGCTTCTGTGAACGTGTATTTCTAGAGAGTTCCGTGTATGCATGTCATGGCTTGACCCTGCCGGGCAGGCAGGTACCCACACAGCTGCTCTCTCACTCCCCCTTCTCCACTAGGCAGGAGTAGAATATATTTTAAAGGGCTCGAGGTTTGAGATAAGGACAGGCAGATCACTTTAATTTACCGTCCTGGGCAAAACAGACTTCGTTTTGGGGAAATTAATTACATTTATTAAGA